AAAAAATCATTTTTGGACTGAAAACTTCAGATTCTTCCAGCCAATAAGGCCATAGAATTGTTTGCACCTATGTATATATATTGGCATCTAAAGTGAGGCAAACACAGTGTAGTGTTGTATTTCCATTCTATTTGTCACTGGCAGTCCCTCCCCCCTACGAGTTACTGTTATATGTCAGGATTGTGGCAATACATTGACAGCTTAGAAAAATTATTTTTCTAAGCTCTAAATATAGCTGGCTCTTAAGTAGTATAAAAATCTTCAAAATGTGCTTATATCTTCACTGGGGATCGAAAGGAATATTGAAAAAGCATTTGAAAAACAGAGTATCAAGGAAACTCTTATGAGGGGAATGCTAGGCAGGCTTGAATTTCTGCTGGAATTTGACTATAAAACCATGCTGGAGGCCTGTAGAGAACACTTTCCTAGAATTGTCCTCCAGAACAATTATATGGTATGCTATAAAGAAGTCAGGGTGTATTATTATAACTCCAGAATACAAATCCCACAGCTGTACACCAATTATAAAGAAATCATAGATCCTAGATCCTGGGGATTATATTTTCTCTAATACATCCCACCTGCTGGTACCAATATGATTCTGGCACGGAGCGTTTAGATAATTGTTGAGGTAACGTGTATACCCTGATAGAGTTGCTGCCACCACCCAAGGTAATTTGGGAACACTAAAGATGTTGTCCCTAAGGTAAATCCCTTCCTGCCCACCAGCTCTCCCTTTGGCTCCCTGAAATGACTGAGTTGTAAAGGTGTTAAAAATCACTGGGATTATTCTCACAGAATGAATAGCTACTGAGGCTGCTTAAAAGTTGAACTAGAGAAATGGTTATTAATATATTTGAACAAACAACTATCTTCTTTAACAAGGCACACAAGCTTGAATGGTTACAGAGGCACAATATTCTTAATGGTTACTTAAATGGGTTTCTTAACTTAGACATGAACAAGACACTCTACCCTGACACAATAGCAGTGAGTTTCCCCAGACAAACCTAACCCAGTTGTCCCCAGAGCAAATAGCTACACTCTAGACAGAGTTCTCTAACAGCTAAATTACTCTGACCCCAGAGAGCAAACCACTTGTGTAATAAATCCAACATAAGCACACAGGCGTCACTCCAGGCCAAATAAATGTAGAATCGCCTGTCCCAAATGCCCTCTGACAGTAAAAATCTTTGCTAACAAAAAATCACCCTCTTCCTTCAAAGCCAAAAATCAATCTCCCTCTTTCTGACAAGGTGACAGTTCCCCCGCCTCAGGGGCTAAACTCCTCCCATTTGCCTTAACCAATCCAGAGAGAGCTCCAGCTCCTCCCCTCTTACACTCCCAAGATGTCTGCCTCCCTCGCTTACCCTCTCAAAATGGAGGCCTGCTTACTGACATCTCAGGCTCCTACTTCGACCTACGAGGTAAGAATCATCACATATGCCTTGGCTGGAAGCCCAAGACATCATTCACTTTAAGTAAGAAAAATAGGGTTCCAGATTACACAAAAATTGTATTGCATGAGCGATCCTGGAACAAATCATTTACAAAATAACATCTGTCTACTTTAAATAAAAATAAATCAAGAGAAAGAATATTTTATCATTTTTAAAGACTAGTCACACTTTAGGACTTAATCTATACAAGTGGTTCTCAACCTTCCTAATGCCACGACCCCTTGATACAGTTCCTCATGTTGTGGTGACCCTCAACCATAAAATTATTTTTGTTGTTCATTTGTAATGGTGTTGTTGCTACTGTTATAAATCGTAATGTAAATATCTGATATTCAGGATGTATTTTCATTCATTGGACCAAATTTGGCAAAAAATACCGGATATGCCCAAATTTGAATACTGGTGGGATTGAGGGGGGGATTGATTTTGTCATTTGGGAGTTGTAGTTGCTGGGATGTATAGCTCATCTACAATCAAAGAGCATTCTGAACTCCACCAATGATGGAATCGAACCAAACTTGGTACACAGAACTCCCATGACCAACAGAAAATACTGGAAGGCTTTGGTGGGTATTTAGCTTGAGTTTTGCGATTGTAGTTCGCCTACATCCAGAAAGCATCGTGGACTCCAAAAATTATGAATCTGGACCAAACATGGCACAAATATTCAACATGCCAAATTTGAACACTGGTTGTAGTTGATAGGATTTATAGTTCACTTACAATCAAAGAGCATTCTGAACCACACCAACAATAGAATTGGCCCAGACTTCCCACACAGAACCCCCATAATCAACAGAAAATACTGTGTTTTCTGATGGTCTTTTCCGACCCCTCTGACACCCCCTCGCGACCCCCCCCAGGGGTCCTGACCTCAAGATTGAAAAACGCTGCTCTACACCAAAAAAGAGAGAGTATGTTTTCTGCTTATAAAAAGTCACATGAGTCCCTATATCAGAAAAAGTTGGAGTAGAAATAAAATAAATAATAAATAAAACATGTATCATGAACAAATAATGTAAAAAAGCAAGTAAATAACAGCATGTTTTGTATAGAAAACAATGTTTCTCTACAAAAAAAATATGTTCCCTATGCATAGAACAATGTTACTGAGTAGAAGATAAGTTTCCTGCATAGACAAGACTAGCTGTTTTTTTTTTTTTTTTGCAGAAGAAGCCTGTTTTCTATGTAGAAAGTGGTGTTTTTAAATGCAAAAAAGGTCTGTGTAGTTCTTGTTTAAATCACAACAAGGGAAGATTCATCCCTGTCTAGCATTCTCTTCTTAAGAAATCCTAAAGAATCCTCAACACTTGGGAATCAATTTTTGACTGTTTTTCAAATGTTTTTGAATCCTTAGGACATGTATGATTTGTTGAAAACCAACAGCATTGCATTTCCATGTAACATCTCATCGATGGTCATTCCCAAGGACCGAATATCAACATGACATGAGAAGAATCCAGGAAAGAAGATATTCCATTTTCATGATTGTCTAGTGTCAAAGAACACTTTAAGATCCTGTTCCATTTTGCCTACCAGCGTCCCTTTCCTTTGCCAGTGCTGCAGACAAAGGCAGCTGCAAGCAAACAACAAGCAATTACCTTTTTCCTTCTGTTAAAGCTGCCGTGTAATTCATGCTACTAAACACAATACTATATTAAACTATGGAAATTGTAAGGAGGTCTATGAGTGATCATGATATTTCGTCAGCAATTTATCTGATTGAGTGCAATGGGGCTTCCTGATGGGGAAGTGTGTACAGAATGGCAGATTTAATTACTGTGGTTATCTTTGCAGACTATTGTAATGTTGGATGGGATTATAATCTGTTTTACAAATGCCGAATGATTTGCAATGACATATTTCTTTTGTGATCACGGATGTCATTCTAAATCTCTTCAAATGAACTTTGAACAAACTCATCATATATTTAGGTTTCATGTTTTATTAACTTGCATAAGTATACTTCTTTTCTGCAGTACAGCAGCTTACAGACAGCATATCCATTCAGTGAAGTCTTAGAAATATGCAGGAAGCCTCCCATTCTCATCTTCTAGTTCTTGGAATATGAATTAACTACAAAGAGATGAAACAACAAAAATGGTAGCTGGTGAATCAATACTGTGACTTCTCTTTCTAATTTGTCACATTAAAGAAGTATGAAATGGTTTCAACAACAAAAATGCTTGAAATCAGATTTTTGCAGCAATTCTAGTATTACATCTACACTTTCATATTGTGGTAGGAAACATCATTTGCCTACTAGTGTTTGATGGATTATAATTCTACTTCATTAGGGCATTGCCATGTTTGATTATGGTAGACTACATGTTAGATTTCATTAATTACACTTTCAGGACATTACTGCATGCAGCACCAAATATCTACCTCCAGTTATGCAAGCAGAGGTAATCTGAATATTTGGCTGCAGCATAGTTGGAAGCCTTTAGGCATTCAGTACAACGAGACAAGTTCAATTTTCCTGTTTTTCTTTCATAGCTTGAACTCCAGTAGTCCCACTCTCTTCAGTAATGTGCAGTTCAACATTCGTGTCCAACTCAATGTACATAAACTCCCTTTGATTTCAAGGCTGAAAGATAAGCCATCTGAAAGAGTTATCAACATTATTATCTATTCGTAAGCCTATAATTTAATTCATTCCCAAATTTGATTTTAATTTCAGGGAGAATGAGGAGTAACCCATATGAAGAGTATTGAATTAGCCAATTTGAAGAAAATGCCTCAATTCATTATGTATTGTAATCCTGTTAAGTCTTCTTATGACTACAGCAACATCTTAGAATTGCCTTAGAGGTGCAGTACATTAAAACAGCTCAGCAGTTGATGAAAACGGACATCGTGCAATTGCCTTTCTCCAGATTGCATTAGCCTTGTACATCTACAGTCTACCTTGCTTTTATGTGGATACAAATTCCAAAATGTTTTCAAGTGTTGTGTTGTTTCTGGAGATATGTGATTATCCTTTCAAAAATCTGGGAATAAGGGTTGCTCGGTGCAAATCGTATAATTATTGGTTTGATTTGTTCGTCAGTCTTCCAATAGCTTTATCAATTTCTCTTTCCCTTTTGAAGAGTAAGTAAATTAATGACCTTTTCCAAGACTTTTCCAAGAGTGCAGACATGTAGTCCTGCTTTAATAAAAATGTTTGCATAGCAGCATGTCAGTGTCTTCTCCATTTCTGGAGGAAGACGTCTGGAGCCAGAGCTCAGGAAAGCTACTTTTAAAACTACAGCTCCCAGAATACCTCATGCAGTGTAGCCAATTATGAAAACTGTGTCTAAAGCGTAATGTTCCCAAGCTCTGGATGGAGAATTCTGTGTGAATGAGGAAGCCCTGTGCAAATTAAACATGAGCTGGGGTAGCCTTTTCTGTTGTCTGTACTGATGGGAGAAAGATTTATGATGTTGTTAAGTGGCTTTTAAAAGTGAGTCAACATGATATGAAAACCATTCCTGGAATATTGGCACAGAAAGAACTTCCAAGGAAGGGGAGAAACAAAATTTGAGATCCACACAGTACCATTCCGAGTATTGGGTAACATCTCTGTTAGGAGTTCCTGCAGGACATCTTTGTATTTTTCCAGCTGCCTAGAATTCAGATATATTCCAATTTCTACAGGAGCAGTCAGCTGTGAAGAAAAGCAGGATCAACAACCAGAGAAAAAACACATTCTGCAATACACAGACTGATCATGAGCCCTGGGTATTGGCTGTTGCTACAAGGGATTGCCTAATTTGATGGTGTAACCTGATTTTGATTGGGGGGGGGGGGTTGAGTCTGAGTGAAAGAGGGTCTACCCTAGCAAACCTTTTGTATTGTTACCCCAATACCCCCATGCATATTCCACACGCCTGCCTGTGGGGTAGCATTAAGTCTTTTTTTGATGGGTCAGTTGCAGAAATCAGTGGCAGCAGTTTCTTATCTTGTTACTCTTGAAAATGTGTAAGGTTTCTTAAAACATGGGAGTGCAGTCCAATACACAATGACAGACACATATGGCAACTGAAATCAGTTGAACTTTATGCTGGATTGTACAGGATTCAAAGTTTTCAATTAAACTAAGAGAGTCCACACAATATAGTCCCATTTGGTGAAATTTCTTTTAAAATATGATTGCAATGTAAATGTAAGAGTTCTGAATACAAAAAAAGAAGTCTCATATTTGATCACAATTTCTTGAGCATTTCTGACAGGCTGTCAAACTAGATGGAAGAGTTCAAAGAAGCAGGATTGATACTGGTACAATGATTTTTGAGAACAAGACTTTTGAAAGAAGATGAATAGAGTATTTTATGATCTTGGAGCAACTTCTGAGTAGCTGAACAAGCTGAATTTATGCAACTGCATAGCTGCCTAGAGAACATTGAACACAGGACAACATTCTTGTTTATCAGACTTCTTACGCTGGAACTAAAAAAATGAATAGAGGAGTAGGAAGAGCGGGTAGTTGGTGTAAATGGACATAGAGCTGAAGACCTTCTTCCTTTTTTCAGCACAGGTTCTCTGTGCTACTTCTGCAGAAATTACTGAAAGCTTCCAATTACAGCATGAATGCAAAATATGGAACAAGTGAGAAATGGTTAAGAAGCAAATTATGCAGTTAATAAGTATGTTGGGGAAAGTTCCCTAATATGTTTTACTTCAGCACTGTGGTTATATGGAACAGTTGTCAGAATGTTTGTAACTGCATAATTCTTAGGTTAGCCAGAACATTAGTTCCATTGGTTGACTAGTTCCTCTGCTGTGCACATATTGCAATTTCTGCCAGATGACAGCCAGATACACCTTTATGTAAATTCAGCATTTAAATGGGATATCAATTTCAGTCAGAGCTTGGAAAAAGTACTTTTTGCCCTAAAGGTCCCAAAGTAGGGCATAGTTCTTAGAGTTGGAGTTGGTGAGTGTATATTTTTAAAAAATAATATATTCCAAACTCTGCACAATCCTTATTTCTGGTGGTTCTTTTTAGTTTTTTTAAAAAAATAATTAATACTTGTGAAGACTTGGGATTTCATCAAGTTTGTTGATACCTCCTCTCTTGTGTTGCATATGGATAGTGCCATTTTGGATACATTAACAAAGGTCTGAACGTTAGATACAGAAAAAATGCTTTTGATGATTCGGTATTTTGCAGGCTCTAGAGAACATTTCTTTCCTGTTTCAATTAGAATGTTTAGTATCATTTTAAGTGAACAAGTAGATTTTCTCTCTCATTAATTTTGTTTAATACTGAACTCATCAATGCTAAAAGTATGAGTCAAATGAATAGAAATTGAACTTCATATGAATATTCCCAGAGACCTGAATTTGAATGAGATAAAATGAATGCTCACATGTGACTAGTGGTTTTTTATAACCTCCCCTTCATTCAACTGTAGTAATTCCATCTTGATGACGATTGATTGATTGATGATTGATTCATTGGAGTATCAGTATTTGTATCAAATAGACATTTCCCCCCTATAAAAAGCCTTCAGTCATGTAAGACACAATCTAAAGTAAACGTAAAGGTTTTCCCCTGACATTAAGTCCAGTCATGTCCAGCTCTGGGGGTTGGTGCTCATCTTCATTTCTAAGCTGAAAAGCCGATGTTGTGTGTAGACACCTCCAAGGTCATGTGGCCGGCATGACTGCTTGGAGCACCGTTACCTTCCCGTCGGAGTGGTACCTATTGATCTACTCACATTTGCATATTTTTGAACTGCTAGGTTGGCAGAAGCTGGGGCTAACAGCAGGAGCTCCCCCTGCTCCCTGGATTCAAACCTGCGATCTTTCAGTCAGCAAGTTCAGCAGCTCAGCAGTTTAACCCACTGTGCTACTGGGGGCTCCACCTGGCTAACTGCAAAAGGAGGTAGTGAAAAAATGGTAGAACCATAGATTTGGACATGATTGAGACAAACTTCCTGGCCAGTACACACTGCATTGCAGGATTCAGCTACAGTATCCCTCACAGGTAGCTCTCCTGTTTTTCCTTAATTGTCTCTGGCCAATTAATTGTCTCACCTTTCAGGATAGTTGGTTCTACTACTGAAAGTTAATGCTGACAAGGCGATAATACCTAGTAGCAGTTGGTGGCTTCTGTGTTAGTGGAATGGTGAATCAACTCTGGATTTCAGTCTGATCTTTAAAGAAGCTATCTTGGGCATGAAACCTATTTTTGACAGGTTCAGCACCTTGGATACCTCATTCAAAATCTGTTCTAAAACCCACAAAGCATTCACTGTGTTGCTAGCATGGCAGCCACTAGCCACCAGTGGCTTCTTCTTAATTTCCCCTCACAACATTGTTTTCTGCAGTTTCTACCTAAATAAGTTGTAAAAATGTAAATACCCTCCCATGAAAGCAAAAATTGAATGGAAAGAGAATTCAAGTTATGTTGGCTTTGTGTGAGTAGTTAATATGCAGGTTGTTCTGATGCTTTGATCATTGTGTGAAAAGAACTGCCCATAAATATCTGTACATAATCCAGAAGACAAAATACCTTGATGATCTGCCCTTCATCTTCTAAAAATTCAGGAAAATCATTTGGTTCTGATCGCTGCTGCAGACTCAGGGATTTTCTCTGTGCCTTGTTCTTCTCACTCTCCTGCAGCCACACAACAAGAGATAATTGAGACCAGAGCTTGAAAAGTTACTCTTTGGGTTACAATTCCAGTAACTCTCCTGCTAGTCCTTGGCCTCCTGGAATTGTAGTCTCCAAATGTAACTTTTCCAAAGTATGGTTGAGAATGTCACCTTTAGGTTCATTATAAATAGAAGTGCATGGATGGCAGTGTTTCGATTTCAAATAAAAACATGAAAGTGATAGGGAAATCCAACTGATCATAAGATGGTGGTCAACAAAAGCTCTCTTTTTAGCCAAATCCCATCCACATTTACCCAGAAGTAGGTTCACTGAGGCTCTTGGGACTGATTCCACAGTGCATAAGACTGTAGTCTTAGCTTTGTTAATTTTGGGTAGATTTGCAAAACATGACTGCTTTCTTAGAGGATGAATTCAATGGCTCTGAGAACTAAACTATTACAAGTCCTGATGAAATAGGCTAAGATGCTTAAGAAGAATTTCAAGGTTAGAATGTAAATCCAGTTTATTAATTTCAAAACAAAACTACAGAAGATCTATATATTTCATCCTCAGCTGCTAGTGCATTTCTGTAGACAAGGGCTCAAAGAAATATATACTGCTGGAATAGGAAGTGGAAATACTATGGCAAAATGGTGAGCATGCATAGTTTCCCCTTTACACTCTTTTTAATATGGTCAAATGAGCACAAGACATGAGTTTCCAATGAGTCAGGCAATTGAATAATTTACCCGTAGCTCAAAATTGTCTAAACTGGGTGATAGCAGCCTTCTTGGGGTTTAAGGGGAGGCCTCCACTCCCACCTCACAACCCTACCTAAGGACTCAGTTTGAATTTTTTTAATATCCAGTCTGTGCTGTTCTAAATGATGGGTCTTCTTGGTCATTGTTACCCTGCTTACCTCCATTTTTCTGAAATCTTCCCGAGTAAAAAAGGCAGTGTAGCCTTCGCTCTGTTCAGCCAGCATGGCTACCGTGTACAGGACCAGAAGGGTTGCCATCACTTTTTTTGGGACCATCCTGGAGCATGAGGAAAACACAAAAGAATGTTACATTAAATTATCTACCATTTATCTTTATCTATACGTTGACCTCATGATTATTTTGAGGGCAGTTTTTAAGGCCAAAATGACGGATTTTGATATGAATCATGGATAAATCGAGGATCTTTCTGCAAGAGGAAAAGTACCAATGCTGAATCATGGGTTCAGCTGCCTTTGGAGGTTTGATGTTTTGCTAAAAAATTCATTACTTACACATAATTGTATAGGGTAGTTTGATTTTTCAGACTGAATTTTATACATTTTTACTCTGATAATCGATAAATCAGAAATTACTGCAACAGTTAAGGATTAGCAGTCATCTCTGACAATTTTATTAGAATGGGGTGGGAATCTCACTATTGGCTGCTGAAATAAAAAGGTCCCACAAATATGCTAACACTGGGGTATAGCACAGTGATTTTTTCCCTGAGTTTAGGTTACTGCTCAATTTTGGTCTCTTCTAGGCCTCCAATAGTTCAGAACCTGAGTCCTTGCCATTCTCTCCCATAAGGCCTGAGCACATTTTTTTCCATTAATGGCATGGCTGGAAGCTATATCTGTTTCCATAACCCCATCTGGACAGTATTGGGTCAAGGAGCATTAGACATTTGAAGCAATGTTGTGCTACTGTTTGCAGCAGTAATATTCTCAGGACAATTCAAACCCCAGTTCTCTTTGCTACTATCATCCTTCTTACAAATGGTTACTGTAATGACTACTGAAAAGAGCAATGTTGGGTTGCATGTAGCGCAAGTGAGAGAAGCATTCCTTTTTTGCTTCTTTATTGTCCTGTGAGCATCCGAGTTACAATAAGCAAAGATCTGAAGTCACACTGTTGTAGTTCCAAGTGGTGTGCAGTTTAGTCAGTAAATTGCATATGTCAATGCTTTTAGCTGACTAGCTGAATAACAAGTAAGTGCTTATTAATCATCAGCCATCACATCCTATTTTGCTCTATTTACAGAATTCTTTTCATGTTCTAAGTAAGGGCCTGTTTCTTTCTTTTTTTTAGCCCATATAGCAAATGATACTAAATGCTTTTGTAGAAACAAGAATGACCTTCTGGCATGCCTTCCTTTTTAAGAGTATTAAAACAAACGTCTCTGAGTGGAGATCAGGAGTTACAGTCAAAAGATCCAATTGTTAGTGTCTTTAATTCTCTGGGGGCCTCTTTCTACATTAAGTATTATTCTGAGGAGGCATCTTTTCCCTCCTCTGGGGCCCTAGTAGATAAAAAATTTCAGAAGAACCTACGGTGGTCTTTTCACAGATTGGTAATGGATTATAGGAGTTATAGTCCAACAAAGTAACTCTTTGTACTGCTGATCCTTCATTGCATGTGAAATGTCAAATTAGACTATCCCTATTAAACATCCCTTATCTACTCAAATTGTACAGTTGTGCGCCTTCAAGTCATTTTCAACTATGGTGACCGTATGATGACATATTCTTGAAAAGATTTGTTTGTGAAAGCTTGTCATTGCCTTCCGCTGAGGCTGAGAGAGGGTGACATGCTCAAGGTTATTCAGTAGGTTTCCATGACTAAGCAGGGAAGTTCTCCAGAGCCATAGTTCAGCTCTCAACTACTATACCACCCTGTCTCACACGGCTCAAGTAGAACATCCAAAGGTTTCTTCTGTATTCAGGGGAAGTTGAATAAAGGTGGGCAGACTGCTGTTCTAAGAAAGAGGTCTAGAAATTATGGAACTTCTTATCAAGGGGACTGATTTGAAGTGCCAGTGTCCAGAATTTAAAAAATGCCTAGATTGAGCTGGATCAAGCGTAATGGTAAACTGTGGTCTGGCCAGTTTTGGGTTTCCATGTGTTGACTATTCATCTCCATTTCTCATTCACATGTTTCAATCTTCTTTCCCATTTTTTTTAATTCAAGCAAACCATAGTTTACCATTCTGTTTGAATCAGCAAGCCATGTTTTGTGCTTGATCTCCAAGCCAGAAATGCTCGCTTGGTGGAAAGTACAGCCTATTGGTTCCATCATTTGGCAAGGTAAACCATTACTTGCTAAACTAGAGAGGTAGAGAACCCAAGGCTCATTGAAAAGAAGAATGAGGGAATCCATATAAAAACATGTTATTCCACTTGAACAAGAGTATTGAGGCTTTGGCAGTGTTTCCTTCTCTAGCTACTACACCCCATTCTTTCCACTGCTATAAAACACAAGGGATTTTGGCAAATTTCCTTTCCTTACTGTTGACTGGTGCCACTGGTTTGTTATTAAGAAATAGCACTATTTGTAATATTTTTCCAATAATGCTGTCCATCTCTATTGCAGATTTATAGCTGAATTTTGAAATCTGTTAATTTAAATTGGGGAATGTGCATAAGCATTTTGCATTCTTCTTCTTCCTTACTATCCATCCCCTGATGACAACAGTCTGTTGATTTTGGCAGGAAAACAGATTGCTTTACTGTTGTTATAAGGATGAGGATGAATTTTGCTTTTCCCTTTCCACCATAAGCTCCACAAATAGGGGTGAAGGGGGAAATCAGAAAGCTGTGTCATAGTCCCTAATCTTATCAGAGACCTAATAAGCTCATCTAGTCAATTCCCATTGGTGTGCTCAGCTTCCTAATAAAGCTTGATCAGTTGTACAGAGCTAAGGATATGTTTTGTCATTCCTGCTGAATGGGAGCCCAGCTATAAGGCTCTGCTGTAAACCAGTTTTCAACTTGAGTGGACAGCAATACCACATCACAGGGAGGATTTATGTAAACATTCAAGAGCCCTTTTAATTATTAAATGCTCTTTCTTGAGTAAATTTAATGATGCGTGGTCCAAGTACTTAGAAGCCTTGCTCATTTTTATCCTGAGACTTAATTAATTTTTTTAAAAGTGCTTTTGGCATTATTCAAGTAATGCTCTTGGGTCAGATTTAGTTCTAAACCAAACCTTTATGTACCAATAAAACTGGGCACAATCTGAAACCAATATTGTTTAGCACCTAAAAAACTAATTCTACTGGCACATTTATTGTTCAGATGTATTGAGGCATGAGAGACTCAAAAAGAACTGAGCATTATGTCACTTATATGGTGGTAATAGAGTGAATTTGATGGCATTTCTGTTTTTGCCAGGACATTAATTTGCTGTATCTGAAACAGTCAGGTCCTATTGCACCTATACAACCTGATGCATGCCTATCCAGTGAAGTGTACAGGGTATCCCTCAAACAATGCAGGGTACTGCAATGATAATGTTAGTGCAAGAACTTTTATATTGTCTCCACTGTTTTGATTGGATGGAGGAGCACAACGGGGCCCAAGAAGTTTATGTTGTAGATATGTAAGTAGGGCCCCTTCCACACAGCTGAATAAAATCCCACATTTTATGCTTTTAACTGGAATATATGGCAGTGTGGACTCAGATAATCCCGTTCAAAGCAGATATTATGGATTATATGGCAGCGTGGAAGAGCCCTAGGACTGCCATTTAGTAGTGGAATTATAGTATATCTAAATACTCGCAACAGTGTCCAAATACAGAACAACACAAAGACATGCATATGAAAAGCTATGTGGTTATACACAGACCTGTGAGGAATCTAGAAACTTATCCTAGTTCTCCTTTGTTACAAATCAATATTAATTAATGTACAACAGGTTTTAAGTTCTTCTGAAATAATTGCTGGGGGCCCTTCCAGACAGCCCTATATCCCAGGATCTGATCCCAAGTTTTGTGTTTATTCCAGATTATCTGGCAGTGCGGACTCATGTAATCCAGTTTATCTGGGATATAGGGCTTGACTGGAAGGGCCCTGGATCAGGTGTGAAGGAAGAACAGAATGGCACTATTTCTTTGATACAGACACTAAACTATATATATAGATGCAGCCTAGACTTGCATTATTTTTTTAAAGAATATAATTTTTATTAGTTAAGAACACAGAATTATGTTATTTACAGTATAAAAAGTTGGGTATATGGGGGAATGGGGATGGAATGGGCAAATAATACCACATTAACTTTTTTAGCTGTTGCATCACACTCTTGACTTATGTTCAGGTTGTGGTCTACACTGCCATATAATTCAGTTTTTGAATGCAGATTGACTGCATTGATCTGGATTATATGGCAGAATAGACTCATATGAGCCATCTTAAAGCAGTTAATTTCCATTCTGAAACTGGATTATATGGGAGTGTAGATCCAGCCTAAGACTCCTAGATCTCTTACACATATATTGTTGTCAAGCCAGGCATCACTCGTCCTATTTCTATACAGTTCATTTTTCTCCTTAACTGTAATGCCTTACATTTTGTTCCTGCTGAAATTAATTTTGTTAATTTTCTTAGCATGAGGCCCAGACAGAAGCTCATAGGCACTCCACTAGCCACTTCTCCAGGATGAAGAGGAGCCATTTGTTAACATCTTTTGGATTTAGTTGGTCAACCACTTACAAATTCACCTAATAATACCATTGTTCTGCCTCCATTTTCTTCCTATTTGCAAGAATATCAAGGGGGACCTTGTCAAAGGCCTTACTGGAATCTGGTTGTGCTGTATCTGTCAGGATGGATGCCACATTGGACGGTGGGACAATATTCCAATCTAACCACATTTTTATCAATCATTTGTTTGACCATATGATATTTAACTCCTATATACTTGGTTATGTTCTTCAGGTTTTCAGTCTCTGTCATGGCAATGCATGCTTGTGAATCCTCTTTAATTATGGAGGATTCACAAGCATGCCATGACAATTTGTGAACAACTAAGACTGAAAACCTGAAGAACAGATCCAAGTTTATAGGAGTTAAATATCATATGGTCAAACAATGAATGCTTCACGTTTGTCTGTTCATGACGAATGTTGTGTTTTTGGAACTGCTCAAGTAAAGCTGAAACCTGCTTTTTACCGGTGACTCCAGAGTCCATTATTCAGTGCTTCCATGATACTTCTGCTAGCCCTGACAGTATCCACGTCATCCTGAGATTGGGACACTCCTCCTTGACTGC